TGGTAAAGAGAGCCCTCCGGGCCCACAGGGGACAATGTACAAGACAGGGCCATATCCAGAGATCCTAGACTGAGATCAGCAGAGGATCAATGTCCTCACAACAGCCTGGCACTACTTGCCCCTGCAATGCAGACACAACAAGGTAACAGGACTACATGTTAACACCTTGGCAAAAGGGGCTAGCAAGATAAAGTTGTTATAAATATGGTTTCTCTCTACATCTAAATCAAAGAACTGAGCTCTTTCCAGTAAAACAGCTAACGTTTATATCAAGCACTTCATCTGTGCCAGAAGCTGTGTTAAGTGTGCAAGTGGATTACTTCACTCCTATAAAGAAAGCACTAGAAGTCAATTATTATGCAAGCAGCACGGAAAAGTTAAACGTGGCTCTGAGAGAGATCTTAGAACAGGCACTCCGCCTATAAGTGGAGCCCAGTTTGAGATCCACCCTTTTTGCGGGAAGGCCTACACCATCTCCTCCGCCCCAATCATGCTTGGCCCTGTGACCAGCTCAGGCTGCTCCCCTGCAGCTCAGCCCAGCACTGATGTTCTCTACATTGCGGAGCCCACTGTGCATGGAGCACGCAGGCAGTGTAGGACCCACTCTTAAACAAGTGGAAACATATTTGATTGTTCTCACAGTCAAGAACCGACGGAATCTTGTTAAGAAAGCACTATTGGAGGAATACAGAATGTTAAGGAATCAAACTGCCATCCCCTCTCCACACAAAAACACAGGAAAGAGAGAAAAGCCCATCAGGAACAAGGAAGAGATGATGCATAAATGTACCCGGTCCTACTCAGGGAAGGAAGGCTCTTCCTCCTATCTCCATGTAAGTCCCTCTCACCTTAGCCTTTAAAGGTTTCCCTGAGCTGGACTTCTAAATTACCATCACAGAACAGTAGGCTTACTTCATGAAAGAACATATTTCATGAAAGGAATCTAAATATATTGACTTAGTCTAGTCCCTTTATTCTTTCACAGAACCCTCCCCAATCTACAGTCTCGAGGACTTTCTGGAGGCTGCACACAGCGACAGCCGCAAAGCCTAAGGTTGCACTGTCCCCACCACGGGTACCGCCTGCCCTTGGCTCCTAGACGCGCCCTTGTGCCATGGCAGCTCATCTCAGCACACTGAAGCTGTGAAGGCTCTTCCCTCAGCACACCACTCTAACTCCAGGCCTTGCAGCAAATGTATAACAGTAACGGGGGGAGAGGGGAGCGAAATGGAGGTCACTGGGTGTAGTCTGATGCCCAGAAATGGCATTCCTCCAGCCTATGGTTCTGGGATGAACAAATTCTGAGCGACATGTAAGGTACATGCTTCACCCACAGCTTGGCGGACACTGGATATCTGATGGAGTGAGTGCCTTTGGAGTGAAAGGAACATAGTTGCCCACTGAATTGTTCAACCAATTTGCTGCTTGTTCTTCTAGCAGATTCTCAGGTGGCAAGCACACTAATCCTTCCATGATAAATTATAACTCCCTTTGAACTGCAGGGGTAGTTATTTTCAAAACTGCTTTGGAGTTGTGGTGTGAACAGGGATTATGGAGAAAGAAAGAGAATTCCTATAGTTTACAAGGCAGATATTCTGCCACTGAAGATCCTATTACTATATTTCTTGGCTAGAAGACACCTAAAACTTGAGATGGATGAAACCTTGGCCTGGGATCCAATGCCATTGCCTAAGGCTCAAGAAAGCCCTTAAAGGTGGTCCTGAAGGCCCAGAAATGAAAAAGCAGATACACCCCGTGGCTTTAGAATCCCAAGTGGCAAAGGATCTCTATCCTGACAACAGGACAAACCCACAACCAAGCTAGCCACTGAAAGGCGGCGGCAGGGGAGCAGAGGGGGGCTGCCGGCACAGAGAACCTCTGGTCAGACATGAGGAGGCATGAGAGTTAGGTGAGAATCTGGGGCAGGTGGCTACCAGGCACCGAGCCTAGGAAGGGCCCCAAGAAGGTAGATCTTCAGCCCTGTCCCTTGTGGGTGGAGTGGCAGTTATGATTCAGTCCTTCCCCACCTGCTCTTTCCTCAGCTTCCCCCATCTTGCTAATGTGGCAACTCTATTCCTCTTAAACTCATAGCAGACCTCATTCACACCTCACAGGGATTCCAGTGGCCAATCCTGTTGAGTCTACCTTTAAAATCTACAGGGCAGCAGAATCCAACCTCTTCGTATGTCTACTCGAGTCCAAACTGCCCTCACCTCTCACCAAAACTACTTACGGCCACTCTCCCCTGTGAAGAAATAGCCTAGAGAAGGTTTTATTCCAGAATTAGTTGCAAGTCTCTGAATGGGTCTCCCTGCTTCCATATCTGCAACTCCTTATATCTTCTCTATTCAGGAGAAAATCATGAGAGCCTCCAATGGTTCCCTACCCTCACTCAAAGTAAAAGCAAAGGCCTCGTGTCCTAGGGGACCCTCTACAGAGGTAGAGGGCCCCGATCACACAGAAGGATACGAGGTGCCTGGTGGTGTGGCTCAACTGGTTGGAGCATGGTCCCGTACCCAGAAAGGTGGCAGGTTCGATTCCCGGTCAGGGCACAAAACCAAGTTGCAGGTCCCTAGTTGGGACAGGTATGAGAAGTAACCGATGTTTCTCACATCAATGTTTCTCTCTCTTTCTCTCTCGCTTTCTTCCTCTCTTTTTCTTTCTCTCTCAATTCATGCCCCCCTCTCTTCCTCTCTCCAAAATCAATTTTTAAAAAAACTTTAATAAAAATAAAGAAAAACACTAGGGCCCCACCACAAGTCCCACTTGGAGTGAGAATCAAGGACCAGGTAGAATGATGGACATCTCAGAAAGTGCCTTTGGCTCAGCCAACTGCAGGCAATATTTCTCTCAGTAACAAAAATACACTTAATGCCTGTTTCAAATCTGCCCTCCAAATACATAGTTAGTAATGAATAGAAATTGGACACCCTTTGACAATCCAATGTGGAGTCACTGTCAGCCATGACAGTTATGTCAAGTGGCAATATGCCCATACAAACTTCTGTGAGTGACTCTTTTCAGGAATGCTCCCTTGCTCACGACAGGGATTAATTCAATTAGACATAATGCTAGGCCCTCCAACATAGTTACTGGCCTTAGTAGAAAAAAAAAAAAAAAAAAAAAAAAAAAAAAAAGAAAAAAAAAACTAGGGAAAAACAGTAAAATATGCATTTAATCCTATCAAGGAATAGAACCTTCTACCAAATGTAATTAAAATTCAAGCTCTTGAAGTCAGCAATCTTGTCCTTCAAGCCTTTTTTTCCTTCTAAAGCAAATAATTATAACACCTAACAGCACCCAATGTGGCTCAAATCCAGATTCAAACATGTGGGTACATTTCTGACCTTTATTAAATTTTGTCCTGTTTGTTTAATCAAATGCCTGTGACATCTTTTAAATTTTATGTATAATGATTAAACATAACTTTACTATGCTAAACCTTTAAAAACTATTTTATTCCATTGTTGACCTTATCCCCTAAATGTCTGATTGTGTGATTTAAATAAGACCTTTTGTTTTAAATACAAAAGGATGTGTTCATATAAAAATAATAGTTCCACTGAAACCAACTAAAAATGTCAGGGAGGCAACCCCACCATGGTTTCTTTAAAGCTGAACCAAACAAAAAAGCCAAGAAATGTTAAGACAAATCATAAATAACCTAAAATTCATACTAACCACAATTCGAAAATTTAGCCGGAGGCTAATATATGTAGTCCTACTGGTTACATTTTTAAGAGCACATTTTAGGGACTATACCTCGGGCTGAACCCCCAACCATCTCCTCCTGGAACTAAATCTGGAATAAACCCAACTCCAGGTGACTTCCACATGCGAGCCTGAGAAGCAGAGTTTCCTTCCAGCAGGCACGGGTCTGGCTGTCCCGCTCACACAAGTCAAAGCGGACTCCCGCTGGTCCCACGCGCACGGAGAAGGGAAGGAGCTGGAGGCACGCCGCTCTGCGCGCCCACAATCCTGGAAGGAAGGAATGCCGGACCTACAAGGAACATGCTGAGAAGACAGGTCAGGTCGTTATGAAGCCCGACGAACTTCCCCCAGCTTCGATCTCGGGATGCTACAGGAGAACTCGGCCTTTCCAGGCCAAGTCCGGTCACAAGGAAGCCCACCCAGAGGGGACCTCCCTGGGAAAACCCAGGGCCCCAAGTAAGGGGTGCGGCGCGCCTCCGGAGTTTCTGGGGAGAAGAGGGGGGCGTCGCGGCTCCCCCAGCGGGCCACCTGCGCGGGGACCCGGGGACCGCGGGGCCTGGCGCCCGCGGCGAATGTCACGTCACGGGCCGCGTGGCGGGTCGCAGTGCGGTGCCCGCGCCACGTACAAGAGTTCGCCCGAGCAGCTCCGCCCCGACCCGTCCGTCCACCACGCGGCTCCACGCGCGGCCCGCGGGCGCCAGGTGCCGCGCTCCTACCTCGGGTTGCATCATGCGCCACGCCGCGCCTGAGGGACGCAAAATGGCGCGCGCGCCCTGCCCCGGCCACGCGGAGGATGCCGGCGCCCAGGGTGAAGCCCGGGCCGCCCTCCCACGGCCCCCCGCGCCCGGGGCCCAAGGGGACCGGACCCGGCGCTGCCCTGGGCGGCGGGCCGGGCACTCACCGAGCTGGCGGACGCGGACGCGGGGGTGGCGAGGCTCGGAGGAAGGCGCGGGAGCTGGAGCGGTAACGGGTAGCGGAGGCGGTGGCCGCGCCGCCCGTCGCGTGGACCCTCACACCTGCCTGCGCGGACTGAATGGAGCGGCGGCGAGACCCGCGCCCGGTTTCCTCAGCCGCGCGCCCGCCTCGGACCCGGCAGCCCGGCCCGCGCGGTCAACGTCACCAGAGAACCAATGAGAGGCGCGGCCGGCGGGGGCGGGAGGGCGCGCGGTGCGGAGGTGGCGCCATCCGGGTTTCCCCGCACCGAGCCCCGCCCCCTTTCCATTTCTGGCAACCTGAGGGCCCTGCTGCCCAGACCCTGCAGGCGAGGCGAGCAGTACCGCGCCCAGCCCGGACGGCGAGCCCAGCAAGCCAGCACCAGTTTTATTTTTCCAAAAGTAAAAGATATGGGAGGCACTTCAATGGGTTTTAAAATATTATTATACAAATGCCTTTTTCTTTTCTTTTATTGTTGTGCCTTTGCTGTTTATAAATAACGTATCCTTGCCCTTTGCCAGGAAAGGCCCCAAAGCCAGCATCTGCCAGTACCCCTAGAGTAGGGGTGTCGAACTCAATCAGAGAAGGGGCCAAAATCTAAAATCCAGTCTAAATCGCGGGCCGAATGGTTTACTGAACAGTCATAAACTGTCATTGTGATGGAAACGCAGCAGAGTGCAGTGATGACAGCACGGTGCGCGCCTCATTGCAAGGCCTGGCGGGACAGATTGGGCCCTCGGGCCTTGTGTTTGACACATGTGCCCTAGAGGGAAGGAGCAGCACACCTGGCCAGAGAGCTAGTCAAGCGGCTTTCTTCCCAGAGTCACTGTCCCAGAGATGACAGGAATTTGAACACAAATCCCACACTACTCACCTCACCAGCAACCTCTTCGTTGTTTCTTTGCTAAAAAAAAAAAAAAAAAAAAAAAAAAAAAAAAAAAAGGAAGGAGTACAACCTATAGAAATCCAGTAATCTGTGACATGGGGGAGATGAGCTGTCAGATTCATCCTGACAGTCTCCTCCTGACTTTGTAGGAAAACCAAAACCTATAGATCAGTCAGTGTCCATGGCATTTGGATCCTTTCCACACCTCCTGCCAGCCAAATGTCCTTGGTCAGTAAAGAGGTCTCATTATTACTGGTCATGATACTCTTATAATTACACTAGCAATTTATACAGCATATAACCACAGGGTATTAGTTTAGGAAAAGGTTATAATTCTATACAATAAAAGCCTAATATGCTAAGTATCTGGTCAATCTGCCAGCCACTTACCAATTGTTATGCCCAGATTTCATGATCCCCAAAGACCACCAGGGAGCTGAGTCCCGTGTAATAGCAGAAAACCTGAATTCCATGCTAGTATGGGCTCTGTCCCACTTACACCGACAGCAATGTGGCGGAAGAGAGAGAGCTTCAACAGATCAGGGGGTTTTATAGGGGTATATGATGACAATATGATGACACTGCTTTGGCTGACCCTGATTGGTTGGGTGAGGGCTAGCGTACAGTTACAAAATGGAGGATAGTCTGCCCTGCCCCACAATACAAAATAGAGTCAGGAGTTAGCCCTGCCCCACCCTGCCCTCTCATTCTGAGGAGTTAGCCCCACCCTGCCCTTTCGTTATCAAAGCATAATATGCTAATGATATGCTCAGATACTCATATGAATAATGAGCAAATGAGTATGCAGACTCATATTGTGGCAAAATTTCATTCTCTTCCCCAAGCTGTATCTTCTTTTCTAGCCTTGTAACCTGTGTCATCACTAACCCCCTAACCTGCTCATCTTCCTTCCAGCAGACCTCATTCAGTCCAACTCATTTCCAGGAGTGCTTTCCACCTGCCCACTGCAAATAATCATCAGAAAACCAACAGGAGCATTCTCCTCCAATACAGAGGCACATTCCCTCACAATGAGCCTCTTTTCCAGACTGTTGTGAGCTTTCTGAGCAACATAAAGAAATTAAACTGGTAACTTAGAAAACTTGTTTCCTCTTACAGTTTTGAAACTGTTGTTTTCCTGGTGCTGAAAATTATGCATAGACAAAGCACCAGGGTTTAAAGTAAATGCTTGTCAGATTAAACCAATAATATCAAGAAAACCAAAAGACATTATTTCTGACAGTACATCTGTTCTACTGTTTTGTTTTTGCTGTGGCAGAGTATATAACAACATGGAGATTACTTATTTTGTACATTTTCTCATGTGTTGTACACATCCTATCTAATAAAGAGGGAATATGCTAATTGACTCTCACAAAGATGGTAGTGCCCATAGCCAGTAAGGAGGGAATATGCAAATTGACTGCCACACCCTCAAACACGGTGGTGCCCACAGCCACAAGATGGCAGCACCAGTGCCCTTAGCCCGCTGGAGGAGCAAGCATGAGGAAAGGCCAGGCCCACCCCTAGGCGGATCTGGCTGCCTACCTCCAGAGTCCCCCAGTCTCCTTAGCCCCCCCAGCCACCCAGGGCTGGCCCAAGGTGCAGGCAAGCCTCAGACTTCAGCTGCCTAGCTGCCCAGGACTGGCCCTTGGTTCAGGCAATCCTTAAATGGTGGCTGCCCAGCTGCCCAGGGCCACCTGAGGCTCAGGTAACCAAGGGCCAGCCAAGGCTTGCACTGCAGCAGTGGAAGCAGCAGAGATGTGATGGTGCATCGCCTTCCCCTGATCACCCAGTCATCTCTCACTCCCTGAGGGCTCCCAGACTGTGAAAAGGGGCAGGTTGGGCTGAGAGACACCCTCTCCAGTGCATGAATTTTCATGCACCAGGCCTCTAGTTTGATAATAAGGATGAATAAACCAGTTCTGCCCAAAGGTCAGTGACTGGGGAAAAGCAGGTTTCTGATAAATGCATGTTGGAATATGTATGTTCACTGCACTTTTCCAATTCTCCAGAAACCCTGGTGCCATGCTGGGAACTTCCTGTGCTTCCTCCAGACACAACCAAAGATTATACACATTCCATGTTCTTTGCCAGGTAATTCAACAAACGAGTCTTAGGATGTTAACAAAGTTATGTGTACATTTGAACCAGGGCCTCCTGGAGAAATGATTTAAACCAAATAAGGTCCAGCATTTACTTATAAATGGGTGGGGATATGCACTGCACTGTGCTTAGCTGCACCTAATTCTACGTTCTCATGAGTACGAGGGGTACTAGGCATTACGAAAATAATAGAAGGGATACACATATGTCAAAAGTTTGGGAAATACTAATTTAAAGCACAATTCTGTTCAACTCTCAAATAAATTTCACAAGGTAAAGATCCTAATTTCCTCTCCTATAGCAGAGGAAGCTAAAATCCTTATGTTTAAATGATTACCCCAAATGACCTCACATTTCTAAACAGAGTAATGTGTTATTTGTTCCAAAAATAAACTCTTTTTCTGCCTAAAACACACTTAACAGAAAAAGGTATTTGAAGAAGTAATTGCAAAAATCCAAATTTGATGAATATCTCTATTTACAGATCTAAGAAGCAAGACAAATGTGAAGAAAATGCCATTGACACACACAATGGATTACTTTTTAAAAAACAAACAAAAACCAAAAGTTATATGGTCAGCCCAGACTTCAGCATTTGGCAAAAATATCCTAAAAGTGAAATAAAGACATTTTCCAAAAATTGAGACAATTTATTGCCATCAGACCTATACCAGCATTTCTTCAGGCCAAAGGAAGTCGTAACATTGAGACTTGGATCTACAGGGAGTAATTCTGGGTTTATAAGTAGCATTTTGAGTAGCAAACAAGACAGTTTAGGAAAAAAGCAGAAACTAAAATATTTTAAAATAATGAAGTTATGTCATATGTCATAAGGACAGAAGAATTTATTTTTTTATTTTTTGTACTATTTAAGATTTTTCCTAGATGACAGTTTTTTAATGTTGCTATTTTGCTGTACAAACATTCTTGTATCTATTTTTTATCTAGTTATCTTTTCTTGGTTTATTTCTATAGTTTCCTTTGTCATTAGAAAGCTTTTCCTGACTAGAGATAAGTGAGTCACTCATATAACATGATTTTACAGCTTCTTTTATATTCAATTGCGATTTTATCCCAAATTTATTCTAATGAATGCAATGAAGTGAAAATATAAATATTCCCACCACATAGCCAGTTTATCAACATCAATTGTTGAATAATTCATCCCTTTTCTATTGACTTATGTTAAATCCTTTATTATTTGTTAAGTTTACATCTATAGGGTCTGCCTCTGAGCATGTTGCCTCACCCTCTGATCTTCTACTAATTATGTATTATACCATTTCCCTCGGACAGCTTTATAATGGAGCTCATACCAAGTAGGTACGTTCTTTCCTTTTTCCATTTCTCTTAAATTCTTTCTCTTCACACAGATTCATTCTTGGAATCATTTTATCAAATTTTCTTCCTTCCTCATGCATAACTGTGGAATGCTGAAAGGAATTTCTTTTAATCTACAAGTTAATTTGAGAGGGAATTATACCTTTGCTGTGGTCCATTTTACCACAAGGAATGTAAAACATCTTCTACCTTAATTAAGGTTCAAACAAAAAAATAAAGCTGAGAGCCTTCTTATATTAGTAAATCAAATAGAAAACATTCTGCATTCAATTGGGGTCCCAAGAACAATACTTAGAGTAAAAAGATATATGAGTCCATATACAAAGGGAATAATGGGAAACCTGCCTATCTCAAACCGATGTTCATTAGAGAGTAAAAGCCTCTCTGAGAATTCATAATCTGAACCTGACCCCCATGTATATGTTGGTACAAGTTCATACTACTTGTGATTCTGAGTGACATCAAGCCAGGATTAAATCTAAACCAGCTCTTTCCAGGAACTGAGAAAAAGCAAACATGAGTCCTTCCTGGAGAAATTTATCAACTGAAATCTCAAATTCTCAGAAAAATGTTTAAGGAAAATGAATGACTCATAAGAATAATAAAAATAAAACAACTAAACACAGAAGAAAAATAATGCACCATTAGTGAAATAAGGTATACAAGGGACAAGTGAAAAAGATATGCAAAAAGTTGAGATAGAGAAATATCACATCCAAGATAACAAATAACTATATTTAAAAATCCTATATAATAAAAGCCTAATATGCTAAGTGTCCAGTCATCTGGTCAGCCATTCAACCAATCAAAGCATGATATGCTAATGATATGCTAAGGCTACTCAACCCCTCGTTATGATGTGCACTGACCACCAGGGGGCAGATGCTCCAACCAGTAGGTTAGCTTGCTGCTAGGGTCCCGCCAATTGAAACTGAGTGAGTTGTTTGTCCAATCCCTTTCTATTCTCAGTCTGAGGGGTGAGGGGACAAAAATCTTACACCTATGGATGAAGACAGGGGTAGGGGTAAGGGCATGGGTTGGAGTTGGGAATCAGGTGGAGGGGAGCTATGGGGGAAGAGGGGAGAATGAGGAAAACCTGTAATAATCTGAACAATAAAGATTTATTTAGAAAGAAAGAAAGAAAGAAAGGAAGGAAGGAAGGAAGGAAGGAAGGAAGGAAGAAAGAAAGAAAGAAAGAAAGAAAGAAAGAAAGAAAGAAAGAAAGAAAGAAAGAAAGAAAGAAAGAAGAAAGAAAGAAAGAAAGAGTGAGATGGGCTGGAAACACCCTGGAGCCCTCCCGAAGTTCCTCCCCGGCTGGCAACCTCCCATGTCCCACCCCAGTCCCAATCATGCATTGGTGGGGTCCCTAGGCCTGGCCTATTCCCTTTTGCAATCCAGGACCCTTCGGGGGATGTCAGAAAGCCCGATCCCACAGGTCATGCCAAGAGACCCCACTGGTGCACGAATTTATTATTAAATAAAATCAAGAGAAATTGAAAAAAAAATGAAACTCTAAAAATATAATCACTGAAATAGTTGGATAGCTATTTAAAAGAAAATAACAACAACAAATAACAAGTGTTCCCAAAGATGGAGAGAAATTGGAATCCTGCTGTACTCTTGGTGAAAACGTCAAATTGTGCAGCTATAGAAAATCAAAACATGAAACAGAATTACCATATGATCTAGAAATTCCACTTCTGAATATATATCCAAATGAATGGAACACAGGGACTCACATAGATTAGTTCATATTCATAGCAGCATTATTCACAACAACCAAAAGATGGAAGCATCCCAAGTGGTGGTCAATAGATGAATGGATAAATAAAATGTGGTACAGTATAACAAAATTAATGTTATTCAGCCTTAAAAAGGAGGGAAAGTCTGACACTTGCTAAAACATGTTTGAACC